ATATTCATGCGAGAAAATGTTTTAGATGTGGAGCCATCGCAAATTTACCCTTTTAGGGGCGTGGCATCCATTTAAAAAAAAGGGGGCGGGACTTGTCATGCCCGCAGTAAAAATGGTTTTTCCCACTTGTTACAAAAGCAGGAAACTTCACAAAGACATAATTATATAGATTATTAGTGTTTTCCAGATTCGGAGCCACCACAAAAATACCTTTTTAGGGGCGTGGCAGCCATTAAAAGAAAAGGGGGGGGGTAATATTATGCCCACTTTGGAAAACATTGTGCCCATATTTCATGAACGAATAAAACGTCCCACAGACGTTTATATTCATGAGAAAAAAATTCCAGATGTGGAGCCATCTCGAATACACCCTTTTAGGGGCGTGGCAACCATATAGGAAAAAAAAGGGGGCGGGGTTTTCATTATGCCCACCCTGGAAATATTTTTCCCACACTCAGAGAGAAATGGAACTTTCCACAAACATTGACATTCATGAGAAAACAAATTCCAGATGTGGAGCCATCTCGAACACACCCTTTTAGGGGCGTGGCAACCATATAAGGAAATAAAGGGGGGGGGGGGCGGGGTTTTCATTATGCCCACCCTGGAAATATTGTTCCCACATTCATAGAGAAATGGAACTTTCCACAGACATTGACATTTGTGAGAAAAACAATTCCAGATGTGGAGCCATCGCGACCACACCCTTTTAGGGGCGTGGCAGCCATATTGAAAAAAAGGGGGGCGGGGTTCTCATTATGCCCAACATGGGAAAAATGTGCCCACATCTCATAAACGAATGAAGCTAATTTCCACAGACATTAATACTCACGATATAAAAATCATACGTGGAGCAATCGCAAACACACCCTTTTAGGGGCGTGGCAGCCATAATAAAATGGGGGGGGGTGTAGTCATGATGCCCCTATAAAAGAACTTTGTGCCTTCCTTTCATAAATGGATTAAATTCCACTCGGACAATATATTCATAAAAATGTTGTTTTTTTAATGTGAGGCCATCACAAACCTACCCTTTTAGAGGTGCGGCATCCATTTTTAAAAGGGGGGGGGTACTCAATATGCACAACGTGGAAAATTTTGACCGCGTTTCATATAATAAAATCCACCTCAGATAGCTGTTTAATGTGTTGGAGTAGGGCCGCCTTTATAGTTGGAATTTACTGTTGACAAACCCTTTGTTTTCTTACACTATGCATTCTTGCCTCTCTATATTAACCCAGTTACTGGTTCTTTCGTCTGTAGAATTATTGATAACCTTTCAACTGCATCAATATCTGAATTAGGGGTATAAACTGGGGTACCTCAGTTAGTCCTGGAAAGACTAGTGTTACTTCTTCAAATACATTGTTTCCCCTGCCTTTTTTTCTGACAAACCAAAAGGCATATGCAGTGTCGCACCTGTATAACGTATAATTTTTTTTAATGGATTTGGTCGGGGTAAAGAAAAACACTCATAAGAGCTTGATATACCATTTTTAAGAGAACAGAGGTGTTGTGTGGTGGGGGTACACAGATTCATTGAATGTGAAGTCATAGTAGACGTGTCCACCACTTTGTGAGGCGAGAACATCGTGTTGTTACCCAATCTGCTGTCAATGGGGCGCAACGGGTAGGGGGTAGGGGGATTTTATACTCCTCCCCCCCGTAAAAAAAGGATTTCCATGGCCCTTTAATGTTAAATGTTAGAGTTTAGGGCTGCCATTGTGTGCTGCGTATTTGTAATTATGAAATCACTCTGGAATTTAGATGTGCATGATAATATAGGTGCAAGTACACACATTGAACAATATAACACGGGTTAGCCTACCGGTACTTACTCATGCTCTTTGGGGTAAGTCATTGTATTACCAAATAATATAGGTTATGGGCCAATCAACATTATAAGAAATCAACAACAAAATATAAAAATTGCAATTGTGGGCACAGTGAATAGGCCCCTCACACCTCTAAAAGGATGAGTTTGCTGTGGCTCTACATAAGAACTTTCTTTTATAGGGGCATCATGACTATCCCCCCCTATTTTACTATGGCTGCCACGCCCCTAAAAGGGTGTGTTTACGATGGCTTCATGTGTGACTTTTTTTTTCTCTTGAATTTTAATATCTGTGGGAATTAGCTTTATTCGTTTATGAGATGTTGGCACATTTTTTCCCATGTTGGGCATAATGAGAACCCCGCCCCCCTTTTTTTCAATATGGCTGCCACGCCCCTAAAAGGGTGTGGTCGCGATGGCTCCACATCTGGAATTGTTTTTCTCACGAATGTCAATGTCTGTGGAAAGTTCCATTTCTCTATGAATGTGGGAACAATATTTCCAGGGTGGGCATAATAAAAACCCCGCCCCCTTTTTTTTCCTATATGGTTGCCACGCCCCTAAAAAGGTGTATTCGAGATGGCTCCACATCTGGATTTTTTTTTCTCATGAATATAAACGTCTGTGGGACGTTTTATTCTTTCATGAAATATGGGCACAATGTTTTCCAAAGTGGGCATAATATTACCCCCCCCTTTTCTTTTAATGGCTGCCACGCCCCTAAAAAGGTACTTTTGTGGTGGCTCCGAATCTGGAAAACACTAATAATCTATATAATTATGTCTTTGTGAAGTTTCCTGCTTTTGTAACAAGTGGGAAAAAACATTTTTACTGCGGGCATGACAAGTCCCGCCCCCCCTTTTTTTAAATGGATGCCACGCCCCTAAAAGGGTAAATTTGCGATGGCTCCACATCTAAAACATTTTCTCGCATGAATATAAACATCTGTGCCAAGTTTCACGCTTTTATGCAAAAGTGCACAATTTTGTCACATATTCGCTGGACTATAACACTTGTCAAGATTTATAACGGTTCAAAGTAATTCTTTTCAATAGAAAACAGGTTCAGCGGGAACATGATAATAAATTCCACTTGAAAAAACTGCTAATGTTTGAAATCTCATTATTTCCAAATTGCTCTCACCCTGTTAATTAAGATAAGCGATTAAAATCCAAGGTAATAATACACTAAAATGTTAAACTTAACTCCAGTCTTTTCATCTCATTCTTGGCATCCGTCTGTGGGAAGTCAGGCTTGGGGTATGGCTCTCCTAAAGAACCAGAATATCTTTCTTAAATTAAATAAAAACACATCAATTTGAGAAAAATCTCAATCCATTCTTATTGATTACCCTATGCAGGCAAACTCCAGAGAGGGGAGCTCCCCGCCTGTGAGTGTCCGGTCACAGCACTACAGCACTACCTTATCTACAGCTGCTATACCCAGCCCGAATCCACTAGATGATGATCATCGGGATAATACTAACATTGAGCAGGATGCATTTGTTCACTTTTCTTTCTAAACGAAAGGCATGATTACTTAGTTGCTCTCTCCTTGCTCTTCAACATAATTATTCGGTTTTGTTTATACTAATTGTCAATTTGTGTGTTTTGTTTTCACGATTTTTGGGGCATTTTGGGCGTGTTAAATCTCTCTTAAAGGATTTTATTTGGGTCCTTCGTGCGCCTCTTGCGCACAAAAGGATTCACATGAATTACTGTGTGACAGCAAATAAGTGACACTATGTTTACGTTATTAGTTCATTACTAAACGAAAAAGAAAAGAAAATTGAAGGGGTGAAATTCGGGGGGAAAGCATGACACTACATGTCAACCCTTTTGTTAGATCGTGATGTAAAATTAACTTTTAAAGCAAAATGAATTGCGTGTGGAAATAATAACCTAAGCTGTCTGACCAGTGGTCGAGTTCAGAACTGGTATCCTCTCTAAAAAATCCCCTGATAAATCTGTCTGCCCAGTATTAAACCATTGCAGTTTTAATCACTTCAAATCGCAATATGTCATTTTCTACTATTACAGGAACAATTGGATTGTACTGGATGTGTTCTACGAAGATATCAACTATGAGCTTTACGAGAAGTCGGAAGCAATTACATCTTAATTCGGCGTTGATCAGTAAGTGCAATTGTGCTAAACATATATATGTTTTTGATTTCAACCGTTTGAAACTCTCATCTTCCAGCCTTTAATTTTGATCACCGCCATGCGTAGAGCAAAATTAAAACGGTATAGATAAAGACCGCCCGACATGTACCGAGTGATTCGTTATAGTCACCGGTTGAAAGGCAGTAATATTTCAATGAGCAGTTGGCCGTATTGCGCAATGCGTTTTGATAACGACAATATGACAATTAAACAGCTCGTTTTGAAAACAATATCTATTGTCATTTCCATTGTAATTCAAATTGAGGCGATGTTTTATGTCAACGTATAGTGAAGTGTCAATAATGTTGTTTCTTCTATAGTGTATACATTATAATACATACATGTATTTAAACCACACGCCACACCTTTAAAATTATAACAAAAGAAAACGAACAAAATGATAAATTCGTAAAATACGGTGATTCAGCATAAAGTAGCAATATATTTACAACTTTAAACTATTGATATGCATCTGAAATAGTTTACACGGGAATTATCTACTCAGCAGAAAAGTGTCACGCAATGTATTTTCATGGACCGTCTTTGCAGGTGACATCGGCGGTCAGCTCGGGTTGTTTCTCGGCGCCAGTTTCATCACTTTAACGGAGATCCTGTCTTACTTGGGCCGGAAATTGGGCAGAGTCCTGGCCCGGAGAGAGCCGAGGAAGACCGCCACTAGCACCAAGGGCGAGATGCCTAGCCTGCAATGCTTGAGATGGAGACGGTCAAGACTGCTTAGAATCGGAGACCAGCTTTTCCTTTACGCCGACAAAATATCAGCAAGGTGCGATGAGGTAGCGAATCTGAAGCTTTTTGACGGATACCCGCCCGACCGAAATGATGCAGCTGCACCGTACCAACGGAAGCGCTGCTTTACGCTACTTCAATAATCCCTTGTCTTTTTCAAACCTACACTAATAATGGGATACAAGCGTGTGGTAATAGCAGCTCATGATCTGATGTAAATACAAATCTTGTTATACAAAAGAAATTAACATCCATTTAATAAATCGCTCACATTCAAGAGCACGCACCGCACCCCTTTTTTCATCAATTTAATCCACTCCTTATATCCATGAGTTATATAAATACCAAATTGAAGTCATTATGTTTAAATTAAAATGATAGGAGTTTATTACCTGTTTCACTTAACAGATGTATTTACCAGTATAATACAATGAATTCAAGGAATTTGCATTTTTATAGGGTAAAGACATCTAATTATTTATCAACGGTTAAATGCCAAAGACCTATATTTTTTAGAATAGTCTCTCCCCACTCCCCCGTCTTAGATCAATTGGTGGTTTAAAAAGCATCTTAAGAAATATCTATAAACAACTATATTTAAACCGGTTTTATTTTTTGTACTTAGAAATGTTGTATGTCTAAATATACCGTTCCAAATGATTCGCTTATCAATTCAACTGAACGTATAGTACACTGTAGTAGTAATAGTAATTATACAATAATGCTTATTCATAATTACCTAAGACAATCTACAAATTCCTATTGGTCGAAAGCCTGTCAATTGGCCGGTCTAAAATGGTTGATAAAACACCTGCCGTAAGCGCGCTCACGACTGAGCTGCGATTTATTTCCTTGCAAAGTAAGTTACAACCATTTTATCGTTTTGACTTATTCGTACAATATATTCAAACAATTGTCTGCTGTGATGTGGGATATGCCTGTTTAAACCCCCTTGGGCACATAGCATCCTCGGCTTCACCTCGGGTGCTATGTGCCCCTCGGCTGTTAAAAACGTAATATCCCACATCACAACAGTCAACAATAATATTGATAAATTTAAGTCGAATTTTGTTCTCTTTTTATCCATTTTCATATATTTAATTTTTGTAATTAATCGGACCATCAAATGCAACATTGACACGCCACTGTGTATTTCCAATCTATCCATAAAAGAGTCTGTTTGAAATTCACAGCTTACTGATGATTAGATGGGGTATTTTGTCCGTACATTGAACTACGATCCAGAAGATGAAGGCAGGTCCTGAATACCAATGGTATCTTCCCGTGGTCGAGTTTTAGGCTTGACAATCTGTCGTTGCGAGCAGCTCGTGAAAAAGCGGCCTGTTTTGCGACCGAGGTATTCAAATATCTCGGCCATTGTTATGAAGCTGGCCCCAAGGAATAGGCCCAACTGGCCACCAATATCACCTGTGAAGCAAAAAAAACCCAGCAATTAGAAAGGAATAACGTCCATGAACCAGACCGTACTTGTTTGTGTAGCGTTTGTATAGAAACTAATAACAATCAGGATCGATTATAGCAGCAACCAAAGCAAAATATTACGGACATCATTGATGTTATTTTCATTGTGAAGCTTTTGGTACAAACACAATGAAGTAGGTATGTTTTAGGTGTTTAATTGTACAAAATGCATTTCTTTGCATTGGATCCATGACACTTACTGATTAAAGCTGACGCGCTGATTGCCTCGGATTGCACGTACTTCTCGAAGTTCAGGGACTCGTAGAAGACGTCCAACAAGATCCAATTTTCCCTGCAGATTTCAGGAGAAGAATTACGAAAATGGAAAGTTCGCTAGTTCTCTGCCTTGCATATAGTTTGGTACAAACATATCAATGGCCAGGGTTCGTCTATACAGGGCGAGTAAAAAAAAGCGGAACCCATGATGTTTGAAGACAATTGTGACGACCGTACGCATTTTTTTTTACGAGACTAGTTTTAGGGTCAATGTGTATAAATGGTGACGGATTGACCAATTTAAGTAATGTTTTCATCTAAAAGTAGCTTATGGAATTGTCTTTTAGTCCTTTTTATTTTTGGCGCTACATACCTTTTTATATATGAAATATAATTTTGGGGGTTTGGGTTCTGCTGTTTTTTGACTCGCCCTGTATGAACACTCAATGTTGACAAATCCATAGAATCACAGGAAACAGCCACCGTGATCATTACTTGCCGGCGTTAACTTCCGGTTTTGACTTCGGAACCTTCCGGCTTTGACTTAGGAACAGCCGTTTAACTTTACGCACACAAGTCTTTGGAGATAATCATAATGATGGAGGTAGAACGGTCTTATGGAAACGATCACCCTATTTTAATTAACTATGGTGTAAACAAAAGAAATTAAAAATGTAGGGTTGTTTTTTTCCCCGCGAGGCTCGGTTATGACTTTCATCCAAAAAAAGAATTATAATGGACACTTTCATTGTGCGTTAGCAATAATTGTTTGGCTGACCATGTCAGATGTTATGTTAATGAACTATGTCAAAGTTCACGACTTCCGTGGTGTGGCACGTGTTTGTGTGGAGCGCCATTTTCCCCTACACGTACAGACATGTGAGCAACGATGCACATTGTTTTCATCCGTCACTTTTCAAGTTTAATGTGCTCCGTGTTCGTTACCATATAATATCCGTCTACATCGTCTTCGCCAGCTATGATTGTGTCTTTATGAACGCTATGAGTGGTTAGGCCTAATCATCGTGAATTTAGTGGATGTTGGGCTTGCCGATCGTTAACGATAGTGCCGACAGGATACGAATGGGCAGATCACCACAAACCATGAGTTGAGCGATTACATTGCATTAAAAAAAATCTCATGTCAACCGTATCAAGTGTGGAGTGAAACTGGGGTGAATATTGGACTCCATATACATCGCCTTGATTTAAAGGGTGTAGTACAGTGTAACTAACCTGATGTATAATCCTGACTGATCGTCGGTGTAATTAGCAAGGTCGTCTGGACTGTATAACTTCCACAGCTCCTCCATTACATTGTTGTTAGGCAGAGCCGCCGTGGATAGACTGGTACGGAACTCGCTGTAGTTGCACGGCACCGGGCACTCGCAACCCTTTATCTCACCCGCCTTCAGCTTCGCTGCAAGATGAATACATACAATTGTATTCTTTCGAAACAAAGTGGTTACTAGGTGATCTTGTTCGTGCATCCAGTTAATACCACGGGATCATATTCACGAGTTGGCCATATTAAATTGAAAGCGAGGCAAAATCCTCATTTTTGAAAGTTGCGAAGAGAAATGAAAGCAATGACACGAAGTTAATTACATATCAATACCAGTCTACTCTAATGAATAATCTAAAATTTGAGATTAAACACACCCTAATGCTTTATAAAGCCAGATTAAAAAAAAAAAAAAACATTGAAAGTGACGCTAAAATGCATAAATAGTCTGGCACCATCCCATTCAACAGTTCACAATTTATGAAATACATTCAGGGAACGCGCCCTAAATGGCGTCTTCGCGAATAAGGATGTAGCCCATGCATTGGCTAACGGTACTGCTATATCACTGAAGGGGAATTTGTGTATATCAACATTTTCGAACGAACAGAATAGATATTTCTGAAAAGACACCAGGTTACTTTGTATTTGAAGTTGGTTAATGAATAGTTCAAGGAAAGAAACGAGGCTATACTGAGGTCATACTTAAAACTGGCGTGGCACAGTTCTTGACTTGTGTAGGGGAGCACTCTATTTCATGCCCAGGATGTCTGTAATGTAAAAAAAAAATTACAAACTAAATGAACCAAAGACTACGGTGAAGGTCGACACCTTAACCTTCTTCACCAAGACCAATACACAGTTGAGGACAATTCTAATAATGATTTTTTTTTTGAAAAAAAAGTAAGACTGCTGCAAACTGCTGCACCCCCATGTTAATGTATGTACCTCTGTCATTTCTGTTTTAGCCTCTGAAGAAGAACTTGCTAAGTTCGCAACGTCAGGCCACATTAACTTTTAGATTTAATGATTTTTTTTCATCAATTTGGGGTGACATTTGAGGGGGAAAAATCGAAAACTTGAACATTGATTAATGACTTTTCTAATTAATGAGCGTAGCATACATACTACAGTAGAGGACAATATCATGATATTAATTACACATGTAACACGTATATATGCTACATTAGGCGATAATGTTATTCTTTAATTTGTCACACATGTAAATACGTATGTAGCATGTGTGCTACATGTACATTGGTTAATACGATCTAATGTCCAACTACAATGGCCATGTGTACACGGGTGCACTACACCGTCATCATCCATAGTAGCCCCATAAATGTGGCCTATTTACTGGACTGCCTCCGTAAACATAGACCACACATCCACATGTACAAAAACGTGTCGACTTTGCCAAATTTTGATTTTCACATTAAGGCTTACTTTTTACATTTTTTTTTGCTTTAGAAGCATTCTCACCCTCTATATAGGCTAATCAGAAAGTGCTGCCTTTTTCAGATGTCCATTTTTCGTGAAATTTCTAGATACATTTGCACACGTTTGCGTATCAAAATTTTAACATGAAATTTCACAAAAAATAGACATCTGAAAAAGGCAGCACTTTCTGATTAGCCTATAAAGAGGGTGAGTATGCTTCTAAAGCAAAAAAAACCTACAAAGTAAACCTAAATGTGAAAATCAAAATTTGTCAAAGTCGACACGTTTTTGTACATGTGGATGTGTGGCCTATGTTTACGGAGGCAGTCCAGTAAATAGGCCACATTTATGGGGCTACATCCATAGGTGCATACATGCTACTGGGTTTTTTTTCAAAAAAAATCCTGCTTCAGGGCCAACATTTTTTTTCTTTGAAATAAGAGCTTTATGTGAATCTAATTGATATTGGGAAGACGATGAACAATAAAATATTTACCTGGCAATCACCTCCAACTTTGTACAACGCCTCAATTTCCCAAAACAACATAAAACGGATGACCGCGTTGAATCTTGACAAACAATAGCATCACCTAACTAACTATAACCAGTAGAGGGGGCTATAACACTTCTAAAATAGTAGCTTAAGTGCTGCAATGGGTGATAAGTGATGGATTTGTTTTTATATGCCAGAATACTGGACCAAAGTGTGTGTACCAGATATGCTACAATACTCGATAGAGGGTTAAGAATAATTACATGTGCTCAAATGATGATATTATTGTTTTTACCGCAACTTAAAGCGACTTGCAAGCAACACATTAAATTTTTTGATAGTTAAGGATTTGGTGTTTGAATTTCTGTTGACACCATTGATGCCACGTTGACGCCATTTCTAAGGGGGAAAAACAATTCCTTTGCCGCCCTTTGGGTTGTCCTTACCTAACGAGTCTGCATTCACAATTCTCGTAGATCTTCTTGGCTTTACACTCGATGGAACAGCCTTGGAGCGTGTACTTTTCATAATGTGTCAGAGTCTTCGTCTCGTCACATCTTCCCCACGGTTCCTCAAGGTTATTGTACTGAACGAAAGAAATTACAAATCGACAGTAAAAGTTTACATATACCGGTACACATGTACGCATCCGAACAGAAGCAGGCAGCAGCCGGTGTGTTCCGCTTTACTTGGAGATAATCATGCAAATATCAGGGTTCGACCTCGCGAGAGGGGGGGGGGGGGGGCAGCCAAAAATGGAAAAGGAGATGTGAAGTCGTATTTGCTATTCGTTTAATAAACATTTAACAAAATGGGCGTCTTCAGGGGTGTCAATGGGGGTGGGGTGTGCATGTCCTGCTGCCCACCCTCGAAAAAAATGATGCCAGTGAGAGTACAATGATAAACAATTTGAAGGGGGGGGATGTGCTTTGCCCCCCCCCCCCCCAAAGAAAAATCCCGAGGACGCTCATGACCTTAGCAGTAGCCCGCTTGCCAAATGTGAGTTAAAACAATGGCGGACTAGTCAAAACCATTCCTTTAGAAGAGTCCGCCTGGCGAGTCTAAATTAGTGTAAGTAACATTGTTGTTTATGACATTTTGATGCAAACAATAAAAAATCTATTGCGGAGTGGCAAAAAAGCCTGCGGACTAGGTAAGAGTAGGTTTCACTCGTGTGGCTGGCTAGTGAAAAAAAGTTATTGGAGAACCCTAGAAAATGTTATACCTTTTAATATGCAACGGTCACTATACACGTGTCTTTCCAGCCTAGTGGTCGTGCGTAGAACCAAGGATTTATTGTGGAATTTCGATTATTCTGTCCTATTGCTCTTCAAAATGATTGATTTTGTTTTACCCTGGTTGGTACTTGGTACCTAGTTGGTATTTGGTACTTTGTTAAAAAAAAAAGACTTCCCGAATCCTCTGCTGGCTTCCTACGTTGAAACAAGGAACACATTACCTGGATTTTGTTTGCGAAAAAAAAAGGATAATTAAGACAGGCCTCGAGTTTACCATTAAGACGATGGGCTTGCGAACACATTTTAGATTGCCTGAACTGAGCAATATATTATTAATGAAAAGACGAACCTCTCGTTTGCGTACACCAACGAACGCGTGGACGCCAGGACCGATTGCGAACCCTTCCGCGTCGACAGAGGGCGGCGTTTCTTGGCCATGAACCAATACCTTCAGTCCGGCTTCCAAATTGCCTACCCGTACTGGTTCAACGTATTCATGCTGAGAATTGGAGGGAAACGAGTTGAGAGATTCAGAGATAAGTGTTGCATGACAACAAGTTTTGGAATTTGTTTGAGGACCGACTTTTTATTAAAGAAAACTGTGATCTTAATTGATGTTGCCTACCTGCTGTATATCAATGATCATTCTCAGGCCGTTACCACTTCCCGGTTGGATCTGATGTAAGATTGGTAGGTCATTTTCATCCGAGTCTTCGCCGGAATTAAAGGTCCAGCAGTTGCCGAATGAAGTAAACACGTGCGTGAAATTCTTCGGAAAAAATTAATAATCAAAAGGCCTTGTTTTTAGGAAAATCTGTTATTCGCGCCAAAAGGGGGCTATCCCCGGCCCCCATCCCAAGAGGTTGTAACTTTGTGCTGTGTTTTTAGGTGCATAGCTTTGAACAAAAAATAGTACATAATACGTTTACATTCGTTGTACAACACTGTAGTAAATTCAATTCCTTTAGGGGCATTCAACCTATGGGCGATTTGAACTGTAAGTTAATTCAGTCCATGCAATCAGCTCTTTATAAGGAATCTTTACATTGAAACAAAAGCGATGCCGCACTGGCAAAAACGAAGGCTCTTTTCCCAATCTCAGTGACCAAAGAACCCATCCCATTGGCAGAAGAACCCATCCCGGTGGCTGAAGAACCCATTCCAGTGGCCGAAGAACCCATCCCGGTGGCTGAAGAACCCTGATCCCAGTGGCCGAAGAACCCATCCCGGTGACAGAAGAACCATTCCGGCCGAAGAACCATGATCCCAGTGGCTGAGACACCCAACCCAGTGGCCGCAGAACCCATCCCGGTGGCTGAAGAACCCATCCCACGGTGGCCAAAGAACCCATCCTAGTGGCCGAAGAACCCATCCCAGTGGTCAAAGAACCCATCCGGCCCAGTGATTCAAGAAGCCATCCCAGTGGCCGAAGAACTCATCCCAGTGGCCCGGAGAACCTATTCTAGTGGACAGAGAACCAGTTCCAGTGGCCGAAGAACCCATGTCAGTAGCCGAATAACCCACCGTAGTGGCCAAAGAACTCATCCCAGTGGCAACGGAACCCACTCCCAGTTGCCCATGCAAGAACCCATCCAAGTGGCCAATAACCCATCCCAGTGGCCGAAGAACCCATCCCTGTTGCCCAAGAACCCATCCCAGTGGCCCAAGAACCAGCCCCAGCGACCGAAGAACCCATCCATGCAGTGGCCGAAGAACCCATCCCCTTGGCCCGGAGAACCCATCCCATGCAGTGGTCCCAGAATCCATCCCAGTGGTCGAAGCCTCAGTACATCTTTCTTTCAGCCCAAATGTGAGTCTTATTCCGGTAAATATCGTCACAGAAAGCTCCGATCATGACATCAAAAGAAAGACAACAAACGTCTATAACTTACATGCGCCTTGCAACTGTCTTTTTTCCCGCGCCATTTGCAGTCCATCAATGTGCGCTCGTCCAGTATGAATCCCGTGCGCTCAGTGATCTCCGTGTAGCTGAAGTTGCCGGCGGGCTCGTTTGGATTGGGCTCCTCGCCGGGTGTCTCCGGGTCATCGTAGGTGTCGAAGTCGTAGTCGGTATATTCCAGGAGTACTTCCAGACTGGCTCTATCTGCTTCAGTCAGTGCTGACAAACGGTATCTGAGATTAGATGGTGTATTAAAAACAATTTACTCGATTGCTAATGACATAATAAACTTCAATATTCTCATCATCACGGACTATTGTTTTCAAAATTGAATTGTTTTGCAGTTGATTATTATCCGTCCTCTACACGTTGATGGGTACCAAACAAGAAGAACCAATCAGTCGTTAAAATCTTAAATTGAAACTAAATGGGTTTATTGTTGCAGAGAAAACAAAACTTAAAGCACGTTTGCCAAAGCAAATGCCACGTTTTTGTTGTTTTTAATAGTGCAAATGACGATGAATACAATTGAGTGTTTGGCATGTCTGCTAGCGGATCTCGTCGTCTTATTTGACAGTCGTTTGTTTTGTTGATTTGACATTTGGTAATGGTCGTTTGCAGAGTGAACAATTGGCTTCAGTCGGGCGGTAATTACTTTTTAAATAAATATGTCATCAGATGATCGCCATCCCAATAAATAGAAAGAATTAAAAAATAGTTAATTTCAAACGCTCTTTGTGGTTCGTTTTCTCACGCCTACTTGTGCCGACGGCTGTTTACTCCAGTAATCAGCCACTTAAAAACTATCCTGCAAAAACTCATGCTAAATAGGCAGAAAGTACCATTTTATTCAGCTGGTCAATATGCAAGGGCCAACTTAAAGGTAGTTTACTATCTAAAGCCAAATAAATAACCTTGAGGAAGGGCTTTTCATACGAATTCTTTCCCATCCTGTCTGGAAAAATGATTATTAACGCACGATTGGAGGTCAGGTCAGAGAAAATACCTGCTACTGGTAACCTGTAAACCAGTACCATCTGTTTCAGGGTCGGGCCGTCGGCGACTAAACCGGCAACCCCACTAGTCATCTCCATCTAGACTAGTGAGGAGGGTGGTTGGACACCCTGATAGAACTAAAAACAAGATCAATCTTAAGGGCGCTGGTTCAGTTAAGAGCCAACAGCGGCCATCCAACACCCTGACAACTCGTCTTGCCAGCGCGTCAGGGTAGGCAGAAAACCCTCATGGAACAATTAAAGGAGGTCGTAAAGCCCATGGCCATAACGGGCGCAACAATGGTTGCAAATTGTCCAGAAAACACGTTGAAGAGGACTCTTTGTGTGACGTTTTGCAGTCAAAGCCCCAGGGAAGCTGCAAGACTGATGATCAACGCAATAAAACTGGTCAAATGAATAAATCTGAGATTAATATTTGTACATATAATGTGAGAACCATACGGACAGATGAACGTTTGGAAAGCCTAATGGAGGAACTGGATGGTTTCAAATGGGATGTTATTGGGCTATCAGAAACCAAAATACATGGTGAAGGACTAACAGAACTGAAGGGAGGAACTTGGCTCTACAATAGAGGAAAAACAGAAGATGATAAAGATGCAAAAGGAATTGGCTTCCTGATCAATAGCAAATTCAAAGAATATGTGAAAGAAGTGAAAAACTACTCCAACAGAATAGCAACCCTAAAAGTACAGTTGACAGGACAAAATGAAATGTGTATCATCCAAATATATGCACCAACAAGTGGCCACGACGACTTGGAAGTTGAGGAGTTTTATGAGGATATCAATAAAGTCATCCAGGATAATCCATGCACATACACAGTTCTTATGGGAGATTTCAATGCAAAATTTGACTAAGGGAAGAAGGGGAAGAAGATATCATTGGAAACTTCTGCTTCGGAGAAAGGAACAAGAGGGGAGAGAGGATGGTCGAGTTTGTGTTAAAACACAAACTAAAAGTTGGAAATACATTCTTTAAAAAGCACAAAAGCCGCTACTGGACATGGGAGAGTCCCAACGGACAATACATCCTCTGCAGTAGCCGTGGGATAATCAAGAACTGTGAAGTAATAACAGCTGTAGACATAGCCAGTGACCACAGAATGGTAAGAGCTTCCATAAGTATCAACCAAAAGCTTGCCAGGCTTAAATTCATCCAGGACAAGAAGAAGAAAGGAATTAATATAATGAAGTTGAAGGAAAGGAAAGAGGAGTTCCAACTGAAGATCCATAACCGATTTGCATCCTTGGAAATGGAGGAGATGGATATCGATGAACGGTGCCAGACCATTACTACAGTAATGCTGGAAGAGGCTAGAGAGATAGCCCCAACAGGGAAAGTTGATGTACCAAGATCTGAGGAGGATCAAGAAATTGAAGAATTAGATCGAAGGAGGAAGGAGATCAGACTGAAAGAAAATAAGACAGCACCAGAAAAAGTAGAATATGCAGAAATAGTAAAAACAGGGGGGGCACGTGCCCCCCCCGGAAAACCTAGTGCCCCCCCGAGTGCCCCCCCATCAAATGCTGGTGCCCCCCTATCCTCTGCAAAATTCTGCGCGTTGTTAAAATCATTACCTCAAAAATAGCAATTTCTTGAGATATCTTCAGATCGAATTTAGCATCAAATGCGGCACCATTTTGCATCTAGCCCATCCTCCGTATGCGAAAATTTCCCCCCTCCCCTTAGACCCCTCCCCCAGGACGGCGATCCGTATCCACCTAAGTGCCCCCCCCCCATCAAATGCTGGTGCCCCCCCTGTGCCCCCCCAGACTGAAAAGTCTGGTGACGCCACTGCCTACATGCAATCAATCAACTGATTGAAAAGGCTTGTGAATACCAACTCCAACTGTGCCTAGGATTTGTCGAATACCAGAAGGCATTCGACTCTGTCGAACATTCTGCCATGTTCGAGGCCTTGAGAAAGGTGAATGTTGATGAAGGATATGTCCGAATTCTAGAAGACATTTATACTGATGCAACTGCCCGTATTTATATTGACAACAATGTATCCAGGACTGTCAACATCCAGAGAGGCGTAAGGCAGGGCGATACCCTTTCTCCAAAGATATTTACTACAACTATAGAGGAAGTGTTTAGAAAGACAGACTTGGATAATGGTGTTAATATTGACGGAGAACCTCTCACAGACCTGCGATTCGCTGATGATGTGGCAATGATTTCAACAACTATTAAAGGTATGGATGAGCAGCTATCCAGCTTAAACAAAGAAAGCAAGCTAATTGGCTTAACCATGCATAAAGACAAAACAAAGTACATGACAAACTTTGAGACCCAGGAAGACATTGAAATAGAGGGACGGAAACTAGAGAAGGTGAACAACTATAAGTACCTTGGACAGACACTGAAAATGGAGGACACCACGAGAGAAGAGGTGATGCTGAGAATCAAAGCAGGGTGGATGAAATTTGGTCAACACAAAGACATGCTAACGGACAACAAATTACCAATGTCACTAAGGAAGAGACTATCCAATCAGTGTGTGCTATCCACTATGACTTAACTAAAGAACTTGAACAGAAACTCACAACAGCACAGAGAGCTATGGAAAGACAGATGCTTCACTTATCCCTACGAGATAGAGTAAAACATGAAGTAATTCGTCAGAAAACTGGGGTGAAAGATGTCATAGTGAAAGTCAGCGAAGCAAAATAGAGATGGGCAGGGCATGTAGCAAGAATTCAGGATAATAGATGGACATGCAGATTAACAGATTGGCAACCACGAATGGGAAAGCGAAGGAGAGGAAGACCAAAGAAAAGATGGAGAGATGATATAACTACATATATAGGAACAGCGACTTGGACTAGGACAGCCAGAAACAGAAGTGATTGGAAACGTCATGAGGAGGGCTTCATTCGACAGTGGATGGACGTAGCCTGATAGATAGATAGATAGATAGAACGTACGATTGTCCGTTTGTAAATTAGTGCTATTTATCACGAAAAATATTTCTATACACGCAAATGAACCACAAACCCATTTTGTTATCAATTAACACGAAAACACGTGTTGATTAACACGAAACAAAAAGAAGAAAATTATTGATGTAAATGTAGTTTGGCTCTTAACCAATGGTATTCAACTCGCATTGCATTGCAGTGGCATGTGGAGTGGTGATCTACCATGTTGTCTAGATTATGAACGACTGAAATAGAAACCTTTCGTACAATTAGTAATATGGATACTGCTGTTGTTGTCAGCCCTCCCAGGTCTTTTAGACATTGTAATGCTTTGAAGACTACATGGTGAGTCTATCCAAGCATTGTTTGGAGCTTATGTACTGTTAGTTTACAAGGGGCTTGTGCTTTTAGCAGCGAAATCTGTTTGTGGAGATGGTAGATCGTGAAGGATTGAGGAAGGTTGCCCATAAATGCCCATAGCTCGGTTACTACGACCGACTCATTGGGGAGTGTTGCCTATCTTGGTTAGGGTTTTTGACTCATGATCCGAGTGTCAGGGGTTCGAATCCTGCCGCCGGCAATGTGGGGAAGCCACTTGCCTCTGTCCACCCAGGAGTATCCTCTGATGGACTGGCATCCCATCCAGAGGGAACGGAAATATTCTCAGTCATTTCATGCCAAGGAAACCGGAGATAAACGCCGGACAGCACTGGTGAGCCATATGTCGGCTCGTGAATGACCCACCTGTTGAAGTTGCAGATGGTCACGGCAGGGAAGTCCAGGTCCCCCACGTACTCCACGGACACCGCCGTAGTGGCCTCGTACTTGAAGTACCGCCGGAACCGATCGGTGATCTGCCAGACGCACACTCCGAGACAAACCAGCAGGATGGTGAGCCAGAGGAGCTTGACTAGCGCCCGGGAGCTCTCGATGACACGACCGATGCCGTGCAGGGTGGTCGTGGAGGCAAACTCCCGGTCCAGATCCGCCTGTTGCTTGCTTGCATCGTCTTTCATGATTATCTCCTATATAAGGGTCTCGTCCCGCTAACGGTTAGTCCATAAATCCCTCCTGGGATTATGAATAACGGACGTATTATGATTACGAGTAAACCGTGCAGTCTATAATGATTAAACCAAACTAATGAATATCCACAAGCTTATACGTACTCCAAAAATACGTGAACTTGAGCCTATGGCTTAAGAACACACGTACAGCCCTGCCGTTGGTTTTCCCTAATACGTGACCGTCGTTTATATACGCAACTGTTTGTTTGCCCAGCCTATTTCCCAACACAATTGCGCACTCATATTGTACTCCGATCACAAGTTCAATCGCGTGGCGATGGATTTCCTGAATGAGCACTCATGGTGGGTTGTTGAATCTGTGATGTTTCCCGAGGGAACTGGTTTTCATATTTCAATTTCTAATCAGATCCTTCCAGTGTGACCGCGTTCGGCAGCGCGTGATGCTTTCAGAGTTAATTAACCACGTCGACCATCATTGGCGTCGCCAGGATTTTTTTTTTTTTTGGGGGGAGCACATTTTCCTTCAAAAATCCTTGTACTTTCGCTAGCATATTCTCAATTCTCATTTCTTCGAGGGTGGGCGGGGGGACATTTTCCCACCTAACCCCCATTGACACCCCTGCAGACTCCCATTTTGTTAAATGTGTAGTAAATATGACTTAACGCCTCTTTTTCCTTTTTTCTTTTCTTTTTTTTGTCTCCTTTTTTTCCTTTTCGGGGGGGGGGGGGGGCGCACCCCTCCCCCTCCCCTGTTTTTTTTGGCTTTTCCAGGTGGAGAGGGGGACAAGCCCACCCCCTTGCCATGTTGACCATCGCTTTTAACACAATGTCGGAAAATGATAGCCAAGGACTTAAGGCCACAAAAAAGTCTCCGGTTTCTGGCATGGAGCTTGCCCCAAAAGTGGTGCGGCGACGCGGCTTTTTTTTTTACCTGTTTTTTTTTTTTTTGGCTTTAAATGTCGGCTGATGACTGCAAATGGTGCCCGACTAATCTTAGTGCAAATATATGGGAGTCCAGAGAGGCCACATAAAGCTTATTCTCGATCACAACCCCATCTAAAAACACGTTAAAATTGTGCAGCAGCAGGATTCCAGTCAAACCAGTGAGTTTGGCGGTTTTGAGACATCATCTTGTATTGAAAAAAAAAAACCTTTTCATTTTGCCGACGCGCATGGCTGCGGCGACGCGCGCGCATACCAGAAACCGGAGACTTTTTTTTTTTTGGCCTAACACGAGACTACCCATGGCTTGCTGGGAATATGTGCAACCCGAAAACGTCTACTAGTCTCTGAATAAAAGGTTCAAAAGGGCGTGAATTGCTTTGTGTCAAGTTTTATTATTTCATTCTTAGGATCCGTTCACACTTCAGTTCACGCGAATTATTCATAGCCGTAAACCACTGCCGCGGGTTTACCTTGGCCGTTGCTCATATTAACCTGCGTGAACCCACGTACAGTACACCACCTGTGAGTTTTGTTTGCTAGAAGTATTTGTTGGCAATATTTTCCTAAATGTAATGAGTATTAAACTCACTCCAATGCATGTCAGTCGGCATTACTGTATTTTTGTTGTTGTCACAGTAGTGTAACATATAGATTTGTATAGCCTTTGGTTTGTTTGACTATACTATATGTTAGGATAGGGTAGCTGTGGCTAAGCAGGATGAACAGATGACTACGAAGACTATACAAAGACACACTGGTAATGACTATGAGCTCAGCTATATGGAAAACTGGTTTATTTTCAAGAACTCAATATTCTACCGGTATTGTGTATGTACAGAACTATAACCTCAGACCATACGGCTGAATCAGCTTATGGGTATGGCTGGGTACTAGAATACGAAAAATGGAGACAGAAGACAGAGGTTCTGAAGAGTTTTGTAGATGAAGACTGGCCAGAGCATAGGGCTGAATCAGCTTATGGCTATGCCTCGGTTTCCCAGGGAGAAGAAGAAGAACTCAATGAAAGTGGGAAAATGTGGACATTTTATACAGTTTCAGAGGGACCACTTGGAGTGAAAATAGGAGATGATGTCATATAAGGAAAACATAACTTATATGACATCATTTCTGAGTAAAGGTAGACTGACCATGGACTGACGTAATGGTCAGTCTGGGGGAGTACCCTTATGAGGTCACTTTCCCCTGTACAAGGGCGTAATCACAGTCTTGGTATGCTGTGGGTGTATTGCTTGGAAAAGAGTGACGTGAAGACCTTGGGTGTAATGTGGAACACCTGTTGTGAGAGTGGTTTCAGGGATGTGTGCTCAGGGTCAGTCTAAATTTTGGTCTTACAGTAGCATAACACCTGTACAACCCAATATTATTGCAACGTCACTTTAAAGCAACATATCAGAGAAGGTGAACAGTAGATTTTTCACCGTTTAAAGTACTTTTAAATAATATATTCTCTCTTTTTTAAAGCACCACATTTTATACATGATATCGTCATACCTTTCCGTTCATCCTTCGGCGGATTATATATAGTCAACTGGGATATGTCATCTGACACGTCGAGTAAACCACTATTCTCATAATGAACCAACAGTCACTTGGGAATTAGAAACCAGAGTATTAATGGCGTGGTTAAGCATCATCAAACAAGCTTGCGTCCAAAAATATAATGGATTGAATTAATAGGGTTCATTTAATAATTAACTACGCACTTACAGGGGGGGGGGGGGGTGGGCTTTTTGCATTCTTTCACATAATTGGCTGCAGTGGGGTCATTAGGACGATGGCAAGGTATACACATCACCACTGTCCTGATATTCCTTTTTCTTCCATGCCAATGGACGTCACTGTAAGTGGCCCAAGTTCCAACTCTGGTAATTATCAATAAACTTAATGGATTTGATTTCCATTAAGTCCCATCACTCGAAAAGACTCGGCATAGAGTGAAATACATCCTTGAGACTGAAGCAGGCACGGCCTTCTTCAGACGGCATTACATGCCTACTAAACATAAAAATGATACATCATTTGAACATGGGTGGGGGACGCTATATGACACATCACATAATGTATCATAAATCTATGCAATGGTTTGAACCGATTGCATTGTTAACTTCCAAAGGGGTCTTAGAGTTTCCCTGTTTTTGTGTTCGGTGCTTTAATTATTAGGGGGTCTACTCTACTGGCCAAACACTTATTGGCTTAACAACTATTTATCTTTTTCAACAAGTGCGAGTGCACAATAAGCTCCCGGCCGTTTTGCAAGAAGTCTTGCATGAAAGTCTTGCGTGAAATCGATCAAAACGATGCCTGCCAGAACTAAAAAATGCGACGCCGAAAAATGCGACGCCGATGACACATATGGAACAACATAAATACTTTTGGTCAATTTTCGAGACAGACAGACAGCCCGACCGACCGACAGACAGACACCACGACAGACAGACAGACAGACCGACAGACACCATGACCACCAAGTGACATGTAGAAGCCCCTGCCAGAGTTTAAAACGGGGGTCAGTCTAAGTTTACCGTTACATTGCATTGTTGCTCATGCGTTGTGCATGACAACATCCGGTAATAACACCTAAAAAGTATTAGTTGTAAGCCATGAAACTCTTTCTTCGGCTATTTCGCAATTTAAAAAAAACCCTCAATGTTTATGGTCATCACACAAAAAAGCAAATTGAGTCAGCACAAAAGCATAAGATTGCACAAAATGCAAAAACATTTTGTGGTACGTGTATAACAATCTACCCAGTTTGTTGTGGAGCGTTGCTGTCCACAAGTGCCTGAAAGATGGTGATAATAGGAGGCCTTCCAATACATAAATGCGCAGTACATTGACCTTCACGCCACTTCTCGCCCCCGCACTGCGAGTCGGCCGTGTATGTTGAACTACTGTGCATATTAGTCCCAATTGGTGTGTTGTTTGAAGTGTGTTCTCGTAATGGCGAAGAGCAAATAATCCATCACGGGAGAGAGTGAGGGCCGTGCGGATCCAGTCAATTCAGCTGGCGCTTTCAGAGCAGCTTATCAATTAACTAATACGATGCAGTGTTGTAGGTCTCGAGACCGGTCTCGGTCTCGGTCTCGGTCTCGAGACCACTTTTTGCCGGTTTCGGTCACGGTCTCGGTCTCGGGAGCTGTGGTCTCGGTCTTGGTCTCGGTCTTGGTCCCCTTTGGTCTCGATATTTTGGCTGGTCTCGAGTCCAGACCAGCCAAAAAGTGAGGGGGCGGATTCCGCCCCCGGCCCTTTTAGGGTTAAGTAAAGAATCAGTTTAGGGCAAATGTGACTGCAGTGTGATGCTAATGGACATGTCTCTCTTCACTTTCTAGTGAGTGAGGCATAGTCCAATAACCATTGCTCCTCTTCTTATTTCTCGTTTTTATTGTGGGATGATCTGTTGAAACAAGCACTTTATAGCCATCCTCATTGATTCCAAATACAACTGAGATTTAAATCTTATGAATCAAGACTGAAACATTATTTTTACCGTCAGATTTTGTATTTTGAATATGGGAACAATTCAACTCTTTTTCCCTAGAAATATTGGTGATTTTTTTCTATTTTCCTTTTCAATTTTTCCTTTATTCGTGGAGGCGGGAAAACGTTTTTTTTTTCCATTATATTTATTAATGGATATTTATCAATTCGTAGACTGTTAAATTGGTATTAGTGGTGGACAGCTGAATTTTGTGATCTCTTTATTAAAATAGACACGACTTGGGAATAGAGTATGCAAATTACGTGAAATGTTCACAGTTACTACTCAATAACATGTTCTTTATCCCAATTATATTTTTTACGAAATGGAGCATGCCATTTTTTTTATCATACGGTCACTTTCTTTTTGACTCGCCATGTATTCATCTTTTCATCTGTGATAAACACAAATTGAGCTACTGCCATAGTCACACAAAAATAGAGTCTAATTGCCTGCCTCGTCTTCTTCCTAAATGTCAATTGCATTTGCACGAGTCGAAAAGAATTGTGTTCCATTAATCGCTATATGGGTGCAGACCAGTAAATCGGTCCGAAATTGCCTACGCCGGCCAAATCACGATTTGCATGCCCTCAAAATCTTCAGTATTTGAGCATGCTGTGGGCCATGAACTTGAGGGTTTGTAAAAAATATGGGTGGAAGCCGTGCACAGGACTGAGAGCTTGCAATTCTGTGTAATTTGGATGTAATTTGGACCCTAAAAGCGCTCTATTTTGCAATGGAGTGGAGGCAT